TCGTAAGGGAGATCTCATTTTTCACCCCCATTGTATACATGAGGGAGCTGAGGTGCAGACCCATGCGTCAGCTTAGCTGCACTAGTAGGCAGTGGTTGGTGCCCCCCATATCAGTTACTCAGGCCTCCTGGCTCTCAAGTCCACACCCTTCAGCACAGTACTGTACTGCACGGTAGCATAAATGCTGTTCTTGTCTGGACAGTACCCTTTTTAACAGGGGTTTTCTGGAGACAGTGCTTTAGCTCAGGGGGAGGAATCTACAGGCTGGAATTTCATCTCGACCCATAGGCTGGTGGGGAGAGGCTTCTGGACACATAAGGGCCTGTGGTGTCCCACAAATCAGTTCCAATGAAACCACAGACTGCTGGCTCTCAACTTGCCTGTACACTGGATGCATCTGGGGAGCTTTAGAAAATGCTGCCTGGTTCCCAGCCCCCAGAGAGCAACATAATATGTCCGGGGGTTCCTTGGCCTGGGAAGCTTTCAGGGCTGCCCTGGTGATTCTGTTTTGCAGGTGGGTTGAGCACCATTACCCTGGGCAGCCACTTCCTCCAGCCCTGCCTCTGCCCTGGAGATGGAAGTGAAGAAGGGCTCTCGGTGCTAGTGCTTTTCATTTCACAGAGATACCTGCCTCCCCTGGTTAACATCCAGGGCTCCTTCCAAAAGCAAACTCACAAGCTTTTCTTTGACAGTTTGGTCAGGCTTGTTGTTGTCCTTCTTTGGCCATGATGGCATTAAGCATGGTTCATGCAGGGTGGTGATGCATGGGGCAGCACTACCATCATGTTACAGGAGTGAGCCTGTCTCGCCTCGTCTGCTGCCTGCAGGAAAGCTGGTAGAGGTCAGATTATTTGAGGGACTTCCTTGAAGGTGAGAAAATTAAGAGGCAGCATGGAACCTTGCTTCCAGAGTTTGTCTGTTTAGATAGATAAGATCTGTCTAGCCACCATAGATAAGATGACTTTCTGTTACCAGGATGTGTTTTATCTTACTGCTTTCCCAGGCAGGAGCAGTGGGAACCTATGGCAGGGAGAGCGTACAGGGTGCCGTTGCATCATCTGCAGCCGAAACTGTTTTTGTTTATAATGGAGGTGAAAGTCACGTAACATAAGATTAACTATAGTGAACAGTTCAGTGGCATCGAGTACAGTGACAGGTGGTACAACCACTGCCTCGATCCTGTTACAGCACATTTTTAGCCCAAAGGAAACCCTCCTCCTCCAAATCCTTCCTGTCTCTCTAGCTCAGAGAATGTCTTCCTCGCACATGTCTTTGCTGGTGACTGGGGTGTCCATCTTTCCTTTCTGAGTTTTTGCTTCTCTTCTTTTTGCTGTTTGCCCTGTGCTGATTGCGTCCTCCTTGCCCTGGGTCACAGGGGCATGCATCTTTCTCAGGTGGGGAGGGCAAGGAGAGGAGGGGGTTGTTTGCTAAGTCAGCATGTAGAACAAAATTTGATTATGGTTAAAATCGCCGTTGGGCGTCCTGTAAATTGCTCCTTCAGTGTGGCGTGCGTGACATCAGGTAAACTGCTTTGCTCGGTAGTCGCAGGCTCTCCAAGCTGAGCGTCCAGGGAGGCAGGACAAGGTGGGGCCTGCATGCTGAAGTCACCACCCCACACCATCGCAGTGCCGGGTCTGCCTCGCTCCAGTGTCACAGTGAGTGGTCTCGACGCATGGTGACAAATGTCTTGATAGTGGAGATGGAAGAAACGCGTGTCGGCATCCGGCACAGCGGGCACGTGCTGCTGCTCACGCATGTGCTGGATTGGAGTCTCCCTCGATGACGTGCCTAACACACAGGCTATCCTTGAAAAAGTTACAGGAGAATTTGGCCACCTCCTTCCTCCATGTGGACATTCCCTGTGGCCCCCCTCTCTTACCTGGCCTGCTCTGCCCCCTACTCTCCTAGGAAATGGTCACACCATCCCCCAGAGTATATTTTTACATGAATGATCTACCCAACAAGCTGTGCTCCTGAAGGTCAGGGGTCGGCTTCATGCTTGTACGTGATTCCTTGGGGCTTCTCACCATGCCTCTCAGGTGCCTCTCCCCTGCACCTTTCTGTGGGTTTGTGCCCTGCAAGCATTTACTGAGCCAGGGCACAGAGATGCCGAGTATGTCGGGAAGATCTTGAAATAGTGAGATGGAACTGACTTGCAAGAAGTGACAACAAAACCATAAAGAAAGTTGATCATAGAAGAATTTGTTGCGGCACCTTGGAGTTGTACAGGGCTACGTCTGTAGGGAAGGTCGCGGTGTGTGAAGAGGCAGTGTTGGGAGGTGGACCAGCCCCCCAGGCAAGTGAGGACGGGGCGGGTACAAATGGATGGGGCAGCCTCTCCTGTGAGGGCCAGGGGGAGGTGGTGGAGGCTTTCCAGCTGAGGTGCTCCATCACAGTGTACAGCTGTCGCTGAATTTTGGAAGCAGCACAGGCAATCAGTAAAGAGAATGAACGTGGCTTTGTTTCAGTAAAGCTTTATGGACACTAACATTTGATTTTCATAAGTTAGCATCTGAGTATCATTCTTTTGAGGTCTCGGTCATTAAAAAAATTAAAGAACATTCTTAACTCATAGGCTGTACAAAAACAAGGGGCACACCATGTGGCCCTCGCTGTGGTGTGCAGACCTGTGGCCACAGCGGGGAGAGGAGCACAGCCCTGAGCGCTCAGCAGCAGACCCCACTCTGTGTTTCTGGGTGGAGGCGGAGAACCTGCATTTCTAAGAAGTTCCTGGGTAATGGTGAGGCTGGACTCACTCAGACTAGCAAAGAGTCAAAGCATCCTTAGGGTTCCCCTTTTGGAAAATATAGAAGTCCGTTTTCTGCCTGCCAGAGACTTGCAGTGTATTCAGCAGGAAGAGACTAACATAAGTAGAAACTTCAGTTGACCCTGCCAGAGTAAAAATTAAACACAGGTAGTGCAAAGCGGTGAGATTCCCCAGAATCAAGTGCTGTTAACTATGTATGCAGTGGGGGACACATGGCTGGCGGGGGTGAGGGCGGAGGCATCGCTGGGCGAGCCGGGATGGGGATCCTGGGCTTCCAGTGCATCAGACATCATCACCTCCACTCAGTTCTTTTGGGATTTTCCCAACCTTCTCAGTCATATGCATTGAACCAAGCAGTTCTGACCTTGAACCAAACGGTTCTGACCTTGAACTGTTCCTGACAGGGTACACACTGCCAAGAGACTTGGTTTTGAGCAGGATGGCTGGGGTGTGCTGTCCTCCCTCTAACTGGAGGGAAAGTCCCCGGAGAGGAACTCAGAATAGAGAAGGATGGGGGTGTCGGGAGGCCAAGGACAGGTTTGGTCATTGAGGCTGGGTGGACAGTAGCGAAATAATAGTGGAGAAGGGGAGTTAGAGCACCTGAAGAGAGACGAAATGTTGACAGGTTGGCAAACACTCAGAAAGTTTGCTTTGCAAAGTCCTCAGAGCATCTTAATGTATTACTCTGAAGCTTGCAGAGACCATGAGGCTCTGTAACCTCTCCCTGTAAAGCTGCAGCAATATCTTGCTGTCAGGCAGGCTCAGAAGCAGAGGAAATATTCTGTGAACTTGATTATTTATCATGCCAAAAACAAAGGACTTTGGCTTTGCATCCTGAACTGGGGTGTCAGGGTTGCAAATTGGTGGTGATTTGTTTTCCCATCGATTAGTGTCCTGAGTTTATTGCCTCCTGACTTTCACTGCTCAATATGGAATTGGAGACAAGTGTAACAGGGGCCAGGGTCTTGCTTTGAAGAGAAGCCAGTGACCACCTGGAGGAAAACATTAAAAAGAAAATGAACAAAACTGAAATAAAGCCAGCTGGCTGTTTGTGTCCAGACCCCTGGTGGGCTGGCGGCAGGTGATGTGGCTGGCACCTGAGCTTGCAAGGGGTATGGGTCATGCAGCGTAGTGCACATTCCCTGGCCTTCTGGTCATAAGAGCTGTTAATTTCAGGTTTTCTAAGAACATTCTGCAGCCATGAAGCTGTGTGTGTATGTATGTATGTACATGCATGTGTGTACACACACACAAGTGGTTTCTAAAGCAGGATATATGTGGGCATCAAACACCTGTGACAGGAAGATGCACAAATGTGTGTGACAGATGTAAGGTGTGTGATGCCAGCACAGACAGCCTCTCAGTCCTGATGCTGCTGTCAGTGCATCAGACCTGGGGTTCTCCCAGGCTGTACATGACATTCCTTTCCAGAGCAGTCTGTCACCTCCTATTCTGACTGAGATGATCCGAGGCAGACTTGCTGTGGTCCAAGCTCCCAGGGGATGCTTTTGGAGGTGCTGTCAGGGCTGAGGAAACCCGCTCCTGCTGCAGGTGCATCTCCACTTATCAAGGGCTGCTTCTCCCCCACAGGATTTGGACTGAGCTTAGTGACCTTGCAAATCAGGACAGCTGCTGATGAAGGCAGAGTGAGGCTTCTGGGTATCTTTGTGGCTTAAAGGAATGCTCAAATAAATGGCGGCTGCAGACAACTCAGGGAGACATAAATACAATTTCAGTTTGCCAACCACTTTCTTTGACTTCTATAGGAAAATCACTTTGTCCCCAAATACAGAATATCATACCAGAGATTGCCAAGCTTTGAGGATTTGCCCAACTCTCTGGTTGGCTCTTGCAGGTGGTGTGTCATTGTGTTTGTAGCTCCTAGACCATCTCCCTGACATCCCTGTCTTGTACCACCTTTGGAGGTCATGGTGCCGACATGGTCAGGGGCGAGAACCAAATGCCACCTCAGCGGTCTTGCAGGTGGAATGCCAATGTTATTGATTTGCTGTATTCTCATAAGACCTAGACAGTTTGCTCTGTTATCAATCTTATGAAAATGATTTATCTGTGATCTTGGTGTTCAAGCACCTTATATCTCGAAATGAGAAGGGAGAACACTGTATCCCAGTGGCCTTAGAAGTCCTTCTCATGGACCCCTGTAGATAGTGACACAGAATTAAAATCTGGAAGCTTCATTTGTATCTAAGTTTGCGCTATTTTCATCTTTCAGTACACAAGGGTCTGGATCCCTGACCCTGATGAAGTATGGGTCTCGGCTGAGTTAACCAAGGACTACAAGGAGGGGGAGAAGAGCCTCCAGCTCCGACTGGAAGATGGGACGGTAAGTGCGGGTCATGGAGATGGTGGTGCGGGGTCAGCTAGATGCCACCGGGAAGGCTGCCTCTGGGCTGGAGTATGTCCTGCAGGACGGAGCTTCTGAGTCTCTGGCATCTTTTGTTGCGTTGGTGATAATGCCTCTAAAGTGCTGAACTAAGAAGCCTGCTGTGGATGTCACATAACAAAAAAAGCCCCTTTTGGTGTTAGCTGCTGCGAGGTCATCAGAGGGGAGGCAGGAATCTTCTCCGGGGAGTTGAGGGACTGGGAAGGTTCCTCGGTGGGGCCGAGCCATTTGTGGGAGGTGAGGGAGAGAGAGCCGCTGCAGAGGTCAGTGTGCAGGCCGTGGCTCGGGGCCAGCCTGCCTGGGTTGGCTCTTGGCTCAGCCCTGGCCAGTTTTGTGCCCTTGGGCAGGTCAGCAACCCTCCTGTGCCTGTGACTTCATCGTGATGAGGATGACAGTCTGTCTAGGGTGCTTTGAGAATAAAATGAGTTACTGTGTGATCTAGAGTTAGAGTAGCTCCTGGGACACGAGCACTCGGTATGTGCGAGCTGCTGTTTTATTTTACTCTGTTTTATGAGTTGACTTTCAGGTGGCCTTACTTGAAAGGAAGGCAGAGTGGTAAAGCTCTGGCATTGTATTTCTTCTAAGATGGTCTGATTCAGTTCCCCTTTTCATGAGCCTTTTATGACCAGCCCTCTCTGTGATTTGTGCATTTTTAAAAAAGATTTATTCATTTATGCACATAAGAGCTGGGGTACAGGCCAGAGATGCGGGGGTAAGAGGATTCACCAGAGACAGAGTGGGGAACAGAACAGGCAGATTACACTGTACCGAAGTACACTGCTGAGGGGAGCAGCAGGCTAATCAGGAGAGGTCTGCTGCGCCATGTGGGTTGCTCCCTGGCCAGCCAGGGATCTAACTCATGCTGCAGAGGCTGTGGATTGCTTCATAGTACAGTGCTTAACCCCTTGCGCCACCAGGGAGGCCCCCAATTTGTGCGTTTTGCAAATACTTGAATGTACTCTGTGCTGGGTCAGGGTGTATGGGGGATCTGATTGGGGGATCTGGGTGCTGGGGGGAGTTGTGAACTTGAGCACACCAGAGGGGCATTTGTTACGAGGAATTGCAGCACACGTCGAAGCCAGCGGAGGGTGCTAGTGAGTGAACTACAGGAGGGAGAAAAGAGGTAACCTGCTGAGCTACGGGCATCAGGTGGAAAGGGGCCTGGGAAGGCGCCAGGGAGCAGTGGGCAGAGCTGGGGGCATCAGAGGCAGCCCCCTTTGGGTGTGTTCAGGGAAGGAACGGAGGCCGGTGTAGGGGGCCACCAGAGAAGGGGACAGACGGGTGACCTGCTGATGGAGGTCATGCGTGCAGGGTTGCTGTGAGCGAGAGCAGGAAAGGAGGTCTTGGATGGTGGGCCCAGGAGAAAGGAAGAGTGGCTTTGGGTGGCTTTGGGTGGATTGAGCGGGAGGGTGGCCTTGCGGGAGGCTGGACTGCGCATCTTCCCTCTGAACTGCGCTGGCACCGTGAGCCAGCCCCGTGCCACCACACCTTTGGTCTCTCGCCGTCTTACAGGGTTGTCTTCTTTCAAGCATCTGGGTCTTGTCTTTCTAGATCACAACCTGCTTGAGAAAAGAGCCTGGTCTTATGCTTTGCTCACATGGCTGGTGATTAACTGATTGATTAGTAGGAAGATGGAACACACACCCACCGCCTTTACTAATTCTGCTCTGTATCCACTCAAGCATATCACTTGGTAAAACTGGGACAAGAGTTTGTCAGAAGATGTTTACACCAAGGTGCGTGCCCCTCTGGTGTCAGGCAGATTTTGCCAGCCTCTTGACTCTGAAGTGAGAAACAAAATTCCCAACAGATGGATTCACATTTACCATGTCAGATAACTTCCCGCCCATGCCACGAACAAAACCAGATGAGCCCCTTCGACGGGACATCTTCTGTTCTGACAGATTTCTTTTCAGTTGCTCTTTTAACTGGGTGGATGTTGTCGAACAGGCGTACACACAGGGGTGGTGAGGTGTGACCTGCCGTGTTGCTGAAACAGAGCAGGTGCTTGGCTCCCCAGTGGAGAAGGAATCCTGCCCAGCGTGACTAATCCTGGTGCTGCCAGGGCCATGCTCCTCTCAGCTGCCCAGGTGGCCAGCATGTCATCCATCGGAGCCACGCCCGGGGCTTCGGATTACCGGCTCTCGAGAAGCAAAGGCTCTGAATGTCTGAGCCTGTCCAGGTGGCTCAGGGGCTGTGGTCTGTCCACTGCTGGCTCTGACCTGTTCTCAGCTGGGGGTGCAGGCGCGTAGACATCAGACGGTTGGACTCTGAGGGCTTGAAGAGTCTCCTCTGAAGCAGAAACCACCCAGAATCTACCAGGTCAGCCAGGAAGTCCATCCCTGCAGCCTCTCCCCTCCTATCTGTTCCTACCCCTGAAGCCCAGGAGCGTCGCTTTAGCTGTGATGGGAGAGGCGAAAATCAATGAGGATCTCTCCTAGAACAGCAGTGATGTTCTCAGCTCCTGACTGGGGCCGGACCTTGTCCCTCACTGCTGACCTGCCCCCCACCCCCCGCTCCCGGTGCAGGTGGTCAGACTTCTCAGTGTTGCCCTTGTGTTTCCTTTTCCCTGCTTATTGTTTTTTGTTTTTTTTTTTAAATTGTGGTCAATAGACATAGCCTAACATTGACTGTGTGAGCAGGTTTTACGCATACGGTGCAGGAGCACTAAGTGCTCGCACACCACTGTGTGGTCATCGCCACCGCCCACCTCCAGAGCTCTTTCCCTCTTGCACAACTGAAACTCAGTGCCCACTGGACTGTGACTCCCATCCCCGCCCTTCAGGCCCCGGTGGCCTCTGTTCTACTTCCTGTCTGAGAGTCCATGCCTCTAGGCGGCTACAGCAGCGGAATCACGCCGAGACCGTCCTTTTGTGTCTGGCCTGTCACTCGGCCCACTGGAGGATGTTTGACACTGAAGCCAGTGAGCAGGGCCGAAAGAAGGGTGCCTTTTCTTCTCCCCGTAGCTGTGATGACTGCAAGGTACCAGAGGTGCCAGCCCTTAGCCCGGCTCTGGCTTTACCCTGAATGCAGCATTTCCTTGTCTGCTCACCTTGGTGATGAGTGTGGCTTCCTCATTCCTTGCCTGGAAGGAACCCTGCCTGGCCAGCCTCCTCCCGCCTGCCCCAGCTCCCTTATAAACCACTCCACTCCCGCCCCCTAGTGGCAGGGAGAACGCGTCCTGTTTCCGGGGTTTTGCTATTAAATTGCTTGGCCACCTGAGCTTGTCTGCTGTCCAGCAGCCTCCTGTGGCGAGTCCTCTTGTGCGCATAGCTGTGACCTTGTGCTCGTGCATGAGGGGATGGGGGGTACATGCTCTCCGCCTCTCACAGACCCAAGCCTGCGCTGACATTTATGGGGCCAGGCCAAGAGTACATGTGGAAGTCTGCATCTGTTTAAACATTAGAAGTATATTTTACCCAAATTATTTAAGCAAGTCTGACATTTCTAATATTTGAAAATTAAAATACTGAATATTTTAAAACGACAGATTTTTCAGTGCTACTACTGAGTCTCCACCTAGTTGCCAAGGTAAAGAACAGCTGTCCTGCCTTAGGCATATTGTGCCTATACCTGCATATAAACAATGTCCGGAGTGGTGAGAATTGTCGGCCTCGCCAGGTGTCTGTCATATGTCCTACCGCAGGGTTGCAAAGATTGCACTAATGGAGGCAGCTCTTCTGAAAGCACATGGGAGGATTTGAACATTGGCCCAACTGGGACACATTTCTTTATGTAAGAAGGTTTTTACTTTTGTGCTGTCTGCTAGGAAGGATTGGCATGCTCGTTTGACTTACATCTAAGAATCTTGGCGTCCAGCTCCTCCCCACATTTGAGAGCAGTGTCTGTCTCTGTTTTACAGCCTGTGGACTCTAAGGCACTGGGACACGATGGCTTATTTCTGGGACACAGTGCTGAGGTGTGTCCTGGGCCTGGAGGCACTGGCACTGGGCATGAGATGTGTGCTGAGGGGTGGATCTCACCATCAGCACTAACTTCGAGTCACAACTGATGGGCACCATGCTCTTTAATAAGCTATACTTTGTGTCTGTGACGTTGGGAGCCACTGAGGTGCAGGGCCCCTTGTGTTCTGGTCCAAAGATGGTACCAAGCATACCAAGATGTGGTAGCAAGGAGATCGCAGACATGGTTCTTAGTGTCAAGAAGCCAGTTCTCATGGACCTGTTGTGCCCACTAGTACATGCAGCTCAGTACACCTACAGAGCTCTTGTATACCCAACAGATAAAGTGCCAGAGAGCTGGAGTATCTGATAAGGATCTTCTGGTTTTGGTACATCATCTTAGTGCTGGATAGTTTAATTACTTCTTTCTGTTTTGCTTAATTGATTTATGGGTCATCTAATAATTTTTCTTATTTTGGTCTCAGTTGCTCAATAATACATGATTGAGACAGTATATACATTGTTGATCAGTTAGCATGAATAATATGAAAAAGATAATAGGTATATTTAGATTATACATATGTAAAATGTTTCTTGAAGTTAGGAAATGGGATGTCTGTAAGTATCCATTGGTAGTATGGTTACCAATTCAATTAGTTACTATGTCAAAGTCAGTGTCCCCTGTGTATGCATGGGCTTTTCTATCACTTACATTTTTTGCCTGACTGATTCTGCTTAGAGATGAGTATGAGGCAGTGATTTTGCCCCCACCCAAGGACATCTGGTGATGTCTGGAGTCACTTTGGGTTGTCACAATTGGGGAAGGAGGTTTGCTTCTGGCCTCTAATGGGTGGAGGGCATAGGGCCCTGGAAAGATCTAGTTCAAAGTGTTATTAGCGCCAAGGTTGAAAAACCCCTGGTTTAAAGCTACAAAGGGAATGTTCTGAACTGGTCACTGCTGAAAGACACCATTAGAAGCTAAACTAGGACCCCATGATTCGAATAGAATATGTAAGCTGCATTCCTTGCAATAAATTAAAATGAAATTCTGTTTTTATGCTGCTATAATTTTGCTCACAATTCCAACTTGTACATTGTATGTTGATTAGTCAGTTCATCGGTGACTTTCCACTTATGGTCATTTTCTTTTAGCTACTTGCATCATTCATTCATTACAAAAATTATTGAGCAATTACTACATGCCAGGGTGTAGACAGCAGTGAAAAGGCACATTCATGTCTTTGTGGAGCTTTTCAGTCGGACCTGAAATGAATGTAATCCATCTACAAATAAGGGCTTAAAATATGAAAAGGTCAGCATGAAGAGACTCTAGAAGTCTGCTAGAACATGGCAGCCGTGGGCGAGACACCTGACACGACCCCACCATGTCCTCTCCCTACACCCCTCAACCCTGCACTCTTTTTGGAACCCCTGGGCAGCCACCTCTGAGATTCTTGCTGACTTCTTAAACACGTTCCAGAGCAAAGACCTCTCCATGCTCCCCCAGGGGTCTTGCCCTTGCAGATAAGTGGGACTCGGCAGGGCAGAAATGGACCAGCCCTCTACCTTATGCCTTGTTCTGTATCCTCAAGCCTTGTCCTGTAGGCTGGAGGTGGGGGGGACAAATTGGAGACCCCTATATATGTTGCTGGGGGAGGTGAGAGCCTGAGGACAACTCTGGGAGGGACTGAGTATTAATTTTGTGATGGATATCAACATTTAGCCTCCCCTTAATATCCAAAGGCCCAGTTATAATGCAGTGAAATCTTCTGTGCCAGAAAGTTCATGGTTTTCTGATCACATTATAAACATTTAGATTTCAAATAAAACCATGTTAGCTCTAAATGTTTGATACTAGCAGTAGTGTGAGAATCAAATTCCTGATAAAGGAAAGAAATCTGTTAAATTCTCACCCCTCCTTCCCGCTGGATGTATGTGTGCACATCAAGAAATCTAAAGCTTTGAATGCTGAGCTTGCAGTCTTACCCCTTTTCTGCTGCTCTGGCCGTTTTCACTCCTTATCAATTTACTGTAACCGATACCTCTAGCTTATTTGTGAACCCTGTTTTCATAAATTGCATATGAGAGGGGAGATTCATTTGAGATGAGATGAGATGGAATGCCAGCATTTCTGCTTGGGGTTTAAGGGACCCCACGTCAGGGTCCAGACTCCCTAATCTGAACAATGAGGTGCTGGGCTGTGCTGATCTAGAGTTGACTGTTCTCTGAGCTGCTCCCCAAGGTGGAGAGCCACAAGGGAAGAACAGAGGAGCCCTGCTTCTTGGGGTGTCTTCAGAAGGACAGGACAGGGAGGGCTCAGGGATGTGAAGGGAGACATCAGCTAGAATTTTATAAAGTAAAAATTAACTCTCAACACTCTCCATCCCCCACCCCCGTTTCCCATCTTTTGGGAATTTTTTTTTTGGCAACTTCTTGAGAGTTATTACTGGTCTCATGTATGGATTAAGTTTGATATCAGTAAGAATAGCTTTACATAGACAGAAGAGAACCAGGATTTAATACTAAAAAAAGAAAGTCATCTACAGGAACCAAAAAAATCGACTGCATGATAACTATTGATACTCTGGGGATGTCATTCCAGACAAACCTTAATAAGGGATTTATGTAAATGGGACCCTGTCGTACATTTCTTTCTGTCACCTGTCTCTTTAAAAATAGCAGAACGAGGTGCGGGGTTCCCTGGGCAGTGTGCACAGGTCCACGTCAGGTTTCAGTCTCCTTATGGCTTTAATGAGTCAATAACTTTGCTCACTTATAAGATTGTCTCCTGAGGCCAAGGAGGAAAAGCAGACTCATGAAAAATTCTGATGAAGTGTTGCCAGCTGCCCCCGAAAAAGGCTCAGTCCGCCTGACCCCAGGGACTGTGTCCTGTGCGCCCACAGCCGTCCCCGGGGGCCCGGCCCTCCCTGGGCCCCTGCCTGTCTGATGAGCACCCAGTGCTCATTGCCTTCTCATTGCACCCCTTTGATTCATGCTCAAGTTTAATGGTTTTTCCTATGTTGTCCTTTTGTACCTTTTATTTTGTGACTTGTATTCTGTGCCCAATTTTCTGTTTGGGGAGGGGGTGGTTTTCTTTTTGATCTCCTAAAACTCTTTGGAGAGTACAAGGATTGATTCTGTTATGTGATCGAACATCCAGCTCTCCCGCTTTACTCTGTGTGCAGTGTGGAGCGTGGTGGCTTTAAAGTCCCCTTCGAGCTTCACCTTCCCGCGCCCCAGGTGTGGTCACTGTAGCCTTCCCTCCACTCAGCACCCATGGTCCCGTGCCAGTCCACTGTGCTCTTTCCGCATCTCCCTGTTCTCAGCCTTCTCCCTCCCCTTTGAAAGCTGAAAGGGAGTGAGACTAGCGCACTGGCTTAATTTTCTCCTAACAGGAGGCGAGTTTACCTACCAATATTATTTGAAAATTCTCTTTAACTGTTACCTGCTATTTTAACTTTATCACAAACAAGTCTTCATATGTGCTGCTACTTGTTTCTGGATTTGCTGTTACTTCTTCCCCTCTCATTGCTGCACTGTTACCCTACTAGATGTCAGCTTTAGTCATGTATCTGAGATCAGGTAGTTCAAGTCCCTCTGAAAGGGGCACAGGAGAGGAATTTGTCCCTAGAAACTAACTGCTAACTCAGTAAACTGAGGCTGCATTGATAGAATTCTCAATAAGATTCGTATCATATAGTGATACGAATATACAATCATATACAATCTAGAGGCCACCTATGTCAGAACTAATTGGGGAGGTTTCTATCTTAAATTCAGATTCTTGGTCCCCACACAAGGGCTTCTGAAACATAGAAGCTGTGTTTGGAGAAACTGTTTTGTGAGCTCTCAGATGATTCTTAAGAAGATCATTAAAAAACCTAACACTCAGCTAAAACATGAGAAGTAGCCACCAAATTCCTCCTGTTTAAATGTTTAAAAAACACCATCTTTTTATAAATTACATACCCACATGTACATATATATGTGGCGTCAGAGTTATAAGTGTATCGTGCTGATAGATATTTTGAATCCTTGTGTAGTCTGCATGCTAAAAATATAAGGATGATAACTTTGCATTTGAAATTTGAAGTGTAGATGTGTGATCATACTCTGATCTCTCTTATGTGCATGCACGCCCCCCCCCCCAAGCTACTATTATACTTGAGGTCAAATTAAAATTATTGCCCTAGAGTGCCTTGCAGTTAGGTTATGGGAAAACATATAGATACATAGGTATATACCTAGCTAGATATATAGATATAGATATACACGCATATACATATGTAGTATATATACTATACTATACTCTATGTAGTATCTATATGCAATATCCATCTCTATCTTGAGGGTCCTTACATAGGATAGGTCACGGAAGTTTGCCATTATAATACAAATAAAAGGTGTGTTGATTGATGGGAAAGAACGAAGAACCACCAATATTAATTAGGCCAAACCAAAGAAAGACTCCTGGCTGGAAAGACAGCAGCACTAGCACTGCAACTAGAATGAGAGACTTTTTTGGTCCCCTCCCCGCCCCCACCGCCCATGGAGAAGCAATACACTTTTTAAAATCTAATTGTGCATCGTACATCCTCACGTCATTCACCTTTTCACTTTGATTCACTGTGCTTGTGCTATCAGCCAGTTTTCCTTTTGGGCTGCTCTCTTATGGCAACAGATTATTGTTAGGTTATTTTTATCACTTACAACCATGTTAGCACAGTGAGCCCAGCCATAGGACAGGATGTCGTAGGGGCTAAATGCTTCATAATTGCTTGATTGTGTCTGTTACTTACATCTTTTTAGATTCGGGAATACCCCATTGATGTCCAAAGCAGCCAGCTGCCCTTCTTACGGAATCCAGATATCTTGGTGGGAGAAAATGACCTCACTGCCCTAAGCTATCTGCATGAGCCTGCTGTTTTGCATAATTTAAAGGTCCGTTTCCTGGAGTCGAACCATATCTACACTTACTGTGGTAAGTGGGGGGCATGTTCTGGCTGCGCAGGTCTGAAAGTGCTTTCCGTCTTTAGACTTTATGGGTTAAAACTCCAATAGTTAAGGATCCTAATTTCACTCTCATTTATAAGTACCTCTCAGCGGAGATACTTGAAAGGTTTGCAATCAGTGAATGTGGTTTAATAAGGCTGCCCTACATCCCTCTGGGATGATTGTGTTAATCACAGCTCAACCAGGGAAAAGGTGGACCCCATCGGAGGCTCTACTGGCTTAGGCACAGTCCTGGAGTCTCAGGAGAGCAGGAAATACATCCTGGTGTCATAGCTCAGGCATCTGCTCACCCCACACCGCCCCTAAGAAAGGGCCATCTTGCCCCTCCCTGCCTCTCCCACTTGCCCATACACAAATATGGTGCTTGATGAATATTCATCAAATGCATGAGCAGGAGTCTTGACAGATCCTTTAAACAAAAAAGTATTTCTCTGAAATTGTCTCATTTATTTTTCTTGAACTTTCTCAATTTCCTATGTGAGTTTTTCTTCTAGGGTACTTGTTAAGTGGTGTGTTGAAGATTGGACCCTATTAACTGCTGTGTGAAGGGCAAACCAGTGAGGGATCTGATTGAAGAGTCAGGGCAAAGCTTCTTTGTGGGGTTTGCCCTCGCTGTGCTTCAGAGCCCTGAACATGTCAGGGATCACAAGCGAGGTCTCAGAGTAACACTGTTCTTCTTGCTGTGATATTACTTGGGTTTGGAATTGGCTGCTTTGCTCCCAAGGTGAGGGGAGTCTTTGTGTCCCATGTCAGGGGCTGTGATACATTGTTGATGTCAGTGCTTGAGAGAGTTTCCAAAACCGCCTTCACAGCAAGTGCTAGGGGAGTTCTACCTGCAAGAAAATAAATCATCAGCCTTCAATTGGATACTTTTTTCAATAAGAAGATTTTTTAAAAATTAATTCCCCTTTTAGGAGAAAGGAATAAATGACTACCAGCTTCACGTTTTAAAGGCATCCTCCCTACGAGAGGCCCTGGTGTCGGTATGTATTTATCCAAACACACCACGGCTCCTCCAGTTTCAGCAGTACTGAGTGACGGAGGTAGACGGAATTGGAAGCAATCAAAAGTCCTTTCTGCTCTGGAGGAGGCTGCGGTGTTTTAGGACAATATCAAAAATTGAATTGAGTGCTACATGAATTAAGGTTTTAGACAACTATGATGACTTGTAGATTATGTGAAGCTGTTTTTACAGGGCCCATCAAAGCCTGATGCCAGGTGGCTGTTGTGTATCAGAACCTGACCACACCGTCTGTTTACAGGTATCGTGCTTGTTGCCATTAATCCTTACGAACAGTTGCCAATCTATGGACAAGATGTCATCTATGCCTACAGCGGCCAAAACATGGGGGATATGGACCCCCACATCTTTGCTGTGGCAGAAGAAGCCTACAAGCAGATGGCCAGGTAAGAGCAACCCCAGCTCAGAAGCGCTCCTGGGCTGTCTGGTGGCAGGAAGGGGAATTTTACCTGCTCTTGCTCCTTGGTGCAGTGGTGGTTCTAGGGTTGAAGGGAATCCCAGAAATCAGCCCAGCTTCTTGTTCTCAGCAGGTTTCCTCATGTTTCCATCTTATTCTTGTGAACCTGAACCTTGGAGAGGAGTGGCCCCTTAGGCTTAGTTCACGTTTTAGCAACAAAATGTCTCGCACTTTATTTCTCCTTAACTTTCTTTGATTTTCTTTCCTCCCCTCCTTGTGTAATAAATCCATTTTACACATCTCACTCAGGCCTCCCTTTAGGAGGAACCAGACTCTTGATAACATCATGAGATGCCAAGCATGTGGGGGGCAGAAAAATAGAAATTTCAAATTACTAGTCATGCATAGTAGTTTTAGGTTTTTAGCCTGGAGGTGGACTTGTTTGGTCACCTAAGTAGGTCCTCTTAGTTTTGCTCTTTTTCTAGCTCTGGGAGAGAGATCCAAGTTTGTTTCATCAGAAAATGAGCTGTGTGGTTATATTGGGCTTCTCTAGGGAAAAATAACCAATATGGTATGGGGGTGGGGAGGGGGGATGGGGGTAGGGGGTGAACTGGCTCATACACATTTACAGGCTTGGCAAATCCAAAATCTGCAGGGCAGGCTGACAGGCTGGAGGCCTAGGGAAGAGCTGGTGGTGCAGTTTGAGCTTGCAGGCAGCCTGCAGACAGAATTTTCTTCCTTGGGGAGGTTAATGTTTTTTTCTCTTGAAGCTTCCACCGATCTTACAAAGTCACCCACATTTCTAAGGGTAATCTGCTTTACTGAAAGTCTACTGATTTAAATGTTAACCTTGTCTGAAAAATACCTTCACAGCAGTATCTAAACTAGTGTTTGATGTCTTGGTACCATGGTCTAGCTGAGTCGATGCATGATATTAACCACCGCAATATTGGCCTGGAACTGATTAGGCATAATGTAGGAAAAGGTAATTTTGAATAGAATAAAGTAGAATAGAAGGATAGAGTAGAGTAGAACAGATAGTTTGAAGAACCAAGTGCCCCCGGCCTCTGGAGAAAGCCTTAGAGAGCCAACAGCAAGTGCAAGGCAGGCCTTGAGGGAGGGGCCTGCTTAGGTTATCTGAGCAGAGAATCCCATGCAAGGTAGTCTGTGCTTCGGTAAATTTCAGAGTATAATTTCTAGCCCAATGAAAGTTTCTAAATGGAAAGGCTGTTTTATAGACGTCTTTATTGATTTATAATGTTTTATTACTGGTTGTGAAGATTAGTATATATAAAGTCTGCTACCTTATAGATGTTCAATGACTGTGTTCAAAATAATGGTGACTGGGGGAATTGGACAATTTAATACATAGAATGATCCACAACTATTGTATTTCCTCAAAATGTGGTGAGAGACCATGGAGCTAAAATGGTTGCAACCTTTGACCTCTCACTCCATAGCGAAGACCACGTGCTGATTAACATGCCTCTAGGGCTTTGCCAGGCCTCACATGGTGTGGCAGCCTGTTGATGCAAACCTCCTTAGTGGAAGTGCTGTTCGTGCTGCTCATGTGGTGAGAAAAATGAGGGGTGTGTATCAGAGCACCCAGCCTGCTCATGTGGAAGGCCAAGTCAGGGCCTTCACTATGGAAGGTTAAGTCAGGGCTCAGTGGAGGGACGCCTCGGTGTTGGAGAGCTTCGGTGCCTGTGGAGACTCCTGTAAGCTGAGTCTTCATTTGTTTCATCGCTTCATTGGCTTTTCCTTCTGTCTGATGGTTGCTTTAGGTCTGAAACAGCAGTTCGATGTGACTTGGTTTGGATAAACTTTTATCATGTTCATAGTTCTGGCAACTCTCCCCGTCCTTCCATAGATGAATGTTGATACTTGATTGGTGTTCGTTGCATCTCTCCTCTCTAGCCAGATTTACGCAGAGGTAGCAGAAGTTGTTCTGTATCAAAGACATGTTGAGGGGCCCCTCTAGGTCTAAGATTCTTCCAGCCTCCAGCTTTATCCTTGCCATGGATCCTCTTGACTGGGTGTCCTCATTCTTCTCCTCCCTGCCTGAGGCTGGACCCGTGGTTCTTCTACACTTGGGCTATTTCACTTATTTGGATCTAATTCAATCTCACTAGAAGTAAGGGGATGTGGTAACTCCGGGGTGGTGGTGATGCAGCCTGCTCTAGGGTAATGCATTTGAGGATCAAGGAGTTTAGATGCTAAATTTGCAACAGGAATTGCTTCCTTAAGGATTTTCTTTAAGGTTTTAAGGTTCATACTTATTTTACCTGCTGAGTCCAAGGGTATAGCCAAATAATTTTGCTGAAATTCTTGTGCAACTTTTGCTCATGAACAAGCATTGGACATTTAAGACCAGCACGTGTGGTCACAGGAGAGCTATTTTTGAATAAGTTCTGTTGTCAGCAGCTCAAAATTTCTGTTAGGAATCTGAGAGTTGCTTTAGCCCAGGCAGGGTCTTTGCTGTGCGGTGGAAGAGAAGACCCACTGGTCAGATGCAGCGAAGGTTTTTGCTGGATTTCTAGCACGGGCCGTCTCTGTCAACTTAGAATGCCAGAACACGCCCATTTTACAATACTTGCTGACTAGGTGCCGTGCTCTTCCTGACTCATCAGTACTTGAAGTAATTATTGGATCAAGTAGCTATGGTCCAGCGCTATGTACTTTAAGCTGAGCCTCTGTAACAGCTGGGCAAAATAGGGGGTGTGGAAACTGAAGTTAATGACTTCCAGTCTTCAGGGACTATGACTCAGTTGGCCTTGAACTCAGCAGTTCTTTCTCCTGGTTCAGTGGGACTGGGTTTCTTTTCTTGATGTGGCACTCAGGGGCCTCTTCATCACTTAATGCCTGTGTGGGTATGGGACTCTCAAAATGCAAGGGATAAATATAGACTCTTGCCCCATCCTGAGAGCTCCCACCGAGTCCTGATGTGCAGGGCAAAGGAAGGAGAGACACAGCAGAAGGAGTGGTTCACTCTCCGTGCCCCTATCAAATCCATGAAGGTTAGATTTAAGAGCAGATGAACAGTGAAGGCTAAAATAATATGAAACATCAATTTATGGGTTCTGCCTTCTGTGAGATGTGGGGTTGACCTCTGCTTTTCTTTACTTCTGTTCCTCTATCCTGGTTCGAGATTGAAAATGCCCTCTCCCACATTTTTGCCGGCCCTCTCCTACGTTTTTACCATCCTCAGCTTCTACATTAAATGGTATCAGCAAATACTCATGAAGTATCAGTTATTTGGTAGTATCAGTTATTCTCGCTGACTAAGCACTCAGAAATGTGGGACTTCTTAAGCAGCTCACAGTCTGGTAGGAGAGAGAAGACTTAAGTGGGCCCAAAGCCTGTAATTGCAGGAAGTATAGATGGAAGCCATGCATGGGATCCCTTTGAATTGGACCAGAGATGGTCCAAGGAAACTCTGGACTTAAAGCTGGATCATCTTGAATTGGCAGGATACATAGAGTGAGAAAAAGACTACATAAGTGGGTGGAATAGTGATCATAGCCTCAAAGTGGGGCATCTAAAGACACAATCACAACATCACAGTTATATACCGCTTCACCCCCACTAGGACATCTGTAATCAAAGGTATAAGTGTTGGCAAGGATGTGGAGAAATTAAAACCCTAGTAACTGCTTTGTAAAATAATCTGGCAGTTCTTCAAATGGTTACCAATGACCCAACATGTTTTTCAGTATGAAAAAAAAAAAAACATGAAAACATCTTCATACAAAAACATGTACACAGATGTTTGTAGCAGCATTATTCACAGTAGCACAAAAGGTGAAAGCAACCTAAATATTTATCATCTAATGAGTGGATAAATGGCATTGGAATATTGGTCATGAAAAGGAACAAAGTACCAATACATGCTACCATGCAGATGAACATTGAAGCTTGCTTAGTGAAAGAAACCAGACACAAAAGACCACACACTGTTATTTTATCCTGATGGACTGTCCAGAATAGACAAATGTATATACAGATGATGGGGTGCAAAGGAAATCATCCTCTTCTCCTCTGGGGTTTTCTGAGCCAGCAAATAACCAAGCATCAGAAAGAGTGATAAAAGAATAAGTAAAAAAGTAGTGTGATAACATGCATAGCTCCTGGGGGGCCTCCCCAGTGGCGCAGCGGTTGAGCGCTGGGTTGCGAAGCTGCCCGCAGCCTCTGCAGCGCCGGTTCGATCCCCGGCTGCTCCCCGGCCACCGGAGGAGGGTCCCGCATGGTGCGCAGACCTCCCCTGCCGCCCGCTGCTCCCCTCAGCAGTGTACTTCGGTCCTTCTGCCTGTTCTGATCCCTGCTCTGGCTCTGGTGAATTCCCTCACCCTCCTGCGCTTCTGACTGTACCCAGTGCATGTATAAATAAAACGAACAAACAAATAAATAAATAAAACATACCTCTAAAAAAAAAAATAACATGCATAGCTTCTGTATGTATGGGAGAAACCAAGCATGACTAATTTGCCACATGGTACACAGCTAAGGTAGGGGAAGTTGTGGGAAGTTGGGCAACAAAAGATGGTCAGGAGTTTACCAAGAGAAGCACAGTAGGCAGAGCTATGAAAATTGAAGATCTGCCTTCTCTACTGAAAATTAATACATAAGGAAATAAGGAGAAATTTAGATGTAAATGTTTTTCAAAGGCAACCTCCAACCCAGCCTTCAGAGCCCCTTCCATGGAATCAACCTTTGGCCAAAAAGACATATTTTGGCATGGCAGATTTTTACTCCTCTATATAAAGTAGATTAGTGTTTGGTTAGAGCTGGAGAGTTAATGTGAAATGGGGGGTGCTAGGTCCTCCCCTGGTGGCACAGCAGTTGAGTGCTGGCCTGCAAAGCTGCCCGCAGCCTCTGCAGCACCACTTCGATTCCCCAGCCGCCGGTGAGGGTCCCACATGGCGCACAGACCTCTCCTGCTGCCTGCTGCTCCCCTCAGCAGTGTACTTCGGCCCTTCTGCCTGCTCTGCT